TTATTATTATTATTTTATTAATATTTAATAAGTGTCTTAGCGAATAAGTTAGGAATTTAGTATTATTATTTAATTATAAGAGATCTTGTCTTATTAGACAAGTTAGGATTATGATTATGAGCCTTATTTAAAGGACTCATCATTTATTGTTTTATTTAGTAGAATTTGATGAATGAAAATAATTGATCGTGATTTCTTTTGGGAGAGTATCCCGTGTTCTGGAGAGAGTATCTCCTTGTATCTTCCCGCTCGTTCACGCTTCCCCTACATCAGTTGGTATCAGAAGTCAGCACGATTCAAGATGCCGCCGCAGAAGGACGAAATCGACGGGCGTGACGCCACCATTGAGTATCCGGGTCGACAAGCCACGGGCTTCGGCCGCCAGATCAATCAATTGGATCGTCGGGTTGAGGATCTTTCGACGGGTATCGAAGAAGTGCGTCTTACGATCAACAACGTGGTTGAGGATTTGCAGACGAACCGTGACGCCGGCAACCGGGGCGTTCGCGGGGGAATTCGCGGAGGACGTGGAGGCCGTGGTCCAGGCGGGGCGCCCCGCTGGAGATCTCCACAACCACCGTCCGGCGACGAAGACGGCGAGGAGACATTATCGGAGGTGAATTCCTTCGACGATTTTCCACCCTCGCACGTCGAGGCTGACCCCTTCGCTGCATACGGCGGCCGTGACATGCGACGGGGCCCGGTCTTCGTGAATGGCAACGATCAACGTGACGACATTGGCAAGCGCGAGGAAGCTTCCATCGTCGACGGATATCGTGCCCGACGCGATTGGGAATTTGATTGTGATTATGGTCGATGGGAGGGCCCGTTTCGTGTAGACATCCCCGAATTCGACGAAGAGAATATTGACAGGCCATTGTACGATGGTCCTCCTGTGTTTGATGAAGGGCCCGAGGAGGTCGAGGAGTGTCTTACCGGCGCAGTGGACGGTATCTACGACGGTCCGCCTATTTTCGATGAAGAGCCTTTGGGGCCCGAGGTGACGCTTTCTGATTTTGGCTTGTGTAAGCCACTGGAGAAATATATGTTACTAGAAGTTGCTGATTTTATTGCTCCATACTCTGAAAATGAGCACCACGGGCATTTGGGCGCAGAAACTGCGCTACAACAGTGAAAACGCAATCATCGTTCATTGGCATGTCGCAAGATAATAAATTGGAGACCATGTTTGAAGTTCGAAGAACAAAAAATGTCTTATGAGGCTAAAGATCTGATCCTCTCCATTTGTTATGTAAAGTTGAGCGATGTTCAACCTTCGTGTTCGACAGGGGAAAATGATGGGATATGCTACCATGAGTTCGACACCACACGCCGGCCACGGGAGCGCATCGGCTTCGAGGGCGAAGCCTTCCGAACCGGGGGAGAATGGTGTAGAATATTATTATTATTATTATTA